ATTTCTAGAATGATTTTCATTTCTGCTATCATATTTTTCTAATTTTCAACAGCTCTATTTTGTTCTCTGAATGTTATTTTTCAAATAGTATTTTCTTCTTATTTCTTTTTTTTTTCTTTTTTCTTTTTTGAGATAGAGTCTTGGTTTGTTGCCCAGGCTAGAGTGAGTGCCATGGCCTCAGCCTAGCTCACAGCGACCTCAAACTCCTGGGCTGAAGCAATCCAGCTGCCTCAGCCTCCCGAGTAGCTGGGACTACAGGCATGTGCCACCATGCCTGGCTAATTTTTTCTCTATATATTAGTTGGCCAATTAATTTCTTTCTATTTATAGTAGAGACAGGCTCTCACTCTTGCTCAGGCTGGTTTTGAACTCCTGACCTCGAGCAATCCGTCTGCCTCGGCCTCCCAGAGAGCTAGGATTACAGGTGTGAGCCACTGCGCCCAGCCATTGTTCTTATTTCATAGATATGATTTCTTTTAACTCTCTTGAAGACATTGACAATAGATTTTTTGGTAAGTTTGCTTCCCCCTTTTTAGCTTGTATTTCCTCTGAGTTATTCTTTTTTTTTTTTTTGGTTTTGTTTGACTTGATCTCTATATTTCAAGTTAGAGATTTTTCTTATATTTCTGGTGATCTTTATCTACTTAGGTTTAAGAATAAGGCACTAAAAAGCTAATAAGAAACTCTGTTCACTTTGCATGGGGCTTCGTAACTTTAACACAGTTTTCTTAGTCTGGATTCCCCCGAGAGGCCCCGAGACGGGTGTTGGAGTGGAAGTACTGAGCGGAAACACCGGGCAGTGGGACGTGAGACGGGAAGGGAAGGCGGTGCTAATGCTAACTGCGACTGGGAGGGACTGAGGCTTAATCCTACTGAGGACCTTTCGGAAATTACGTCAAACACACACCTCAGAGTTACTGCATGCAAGGGCAAGGGAGCCGGAAAATACCTCAAATTCCGACAGTCATGGGTTGAAAGCTGTTGCTGGGGGTGCTAATTCCCTGGCGTGGCACTTCTGCCTGCCTTGCACCTAGGCAGAGTAACCTTCCCTGGCTTTGGAGAGAGACTTCAGGCAAAGAGCCATGGACACCACAGCTGCAAGTCAGCAGCAGCGTGGGAAGCGGAACTGCCCAGGGCACTTGCGCGGGCAGTGGTGTCTGCTCGGCAGCCTACCTGGGCTGTTACCTGGGAACTCCCATCAGTATTTTTAGGGTTAGTTTTGTTTGTTTGTTTGGTCCTTGTCAAATTTCTTGGACAATCTCCTTTCCAGAGGGTTCCATTCTGGCTGAGGCCCCAGACGTGCGACCCAGTTATGCAGTTCCAGCCATCCCCTGGCCACTGGAGCGCTCCCAGCGGTGGCTCTAGATGTGTGAGGAAGAAGCTGTTATGGGTTCTCCACGCCCAGCAGACGGCACATGTATCAGAGGCGAGCTGAGCCCTGCTGGAATTCCTGACCCACTAAATTGTGTGAAACAATACGATTTTTACCGCTTTAAAACACACGGTTTTGGGGTACTTTGGTGCACAGCAATAGATAACCAAAACTGAACCAGAAAAGGAAATTTGAGTTACGTTTTTTGTTTCTTTTTTTTTTTGAGACAGAGTCTCACTCTGTTGCCCCGGCTAGAGTGAGTGCCGTGGCGTCAGCCTAGCTCACAGCAACCTCAAACTCCTGGGCTCAAGGGATCCTCCTGCCTCAGCCTCCGAGTAGCTGGACTGCAGGCATGTGCCACCATGCCCGGCTAATTTTTCTATATATATATTAGTTGGCCAATTAATTTCTTTCTATTTATAGTAGAGACGGGGTCTCGCTCTTGCTCAGGCTGGTTTCGAACTCCTGACCTCGAGCTATCCACCTGCCTCAGCCTCCCAGAGTGCTAGGATTACAGGCATGAGCCACTGCGCCCAGCCTCTATACACTTTCTGTACATGACATTTAGACTTACAAAAGCTAAACAGAGCAGCTAAAATCATATGCTGGTCTGGAAGAAAATATGCATTTTAGAATTTTTAAATTATTTAGAAAGTATGAATATAAGCATTTTTCTTTACCCATAGCTCTATCCTTTCAAAACCTAAGTTTAAAAATAAGAATGATGGCCGGGCGCAGTGGCTCATGCCTGTAATCCTAGCTCTCTGGGAGGCCGAGGCGAGCAGATTGCTCAAGGTCAGGAGTTCAAAACCAGCCTGAGCAAGAGCGAGACCCCGTCTCTAATATAAATAGAAAGAAATTAATGGCCAACTAATATATAATTAGAAAATTAGCCAGGCATGGTGGCGCATGCCTGTAGTCCCAGCTACTCGGGAGGCTGAGGCAACAGGATTGCTTGAGTCCAGGAGTTTGAGGTTGCTGTGAGCTAGGCTGACGCCCTGGCACTCACTCTAGCCTGGGCAACAAAGTGAGACTCTGTCTCAAAAAAAAAAAATAAAAAAGAATGAAAATGCCCAAACAGTTTTTCCAGATTATGTTGCTTTTGGACACATCAGAGCATAAGCACTCTCTAACCCATGGCAAGAGCAGGGGCCACCCTCTCCACTTGAGCTATCTCTTTGGCAGGGGCTTAAATCTGGGCCCTTTAGTTTAGAGCCAGATTAGGTAAATGAATTTTTATTCTTGCTTTAAAAATAACCTCCAACTGGGCACGGTGGCTCACGCTTGTAATCCTAACACTTTGGGAGGCCAAGCCTGGAGGATTGCTTGAAGCCAGGAGTTTCCAAACAGCCTGAGCAACATAGCAAGACCCTGCCTCTATAAAATATAAAAAATTTACCCATTTAGCCAGGCATGGTGGTGCATTCCCATAGTGCCAGCTACTCAGGAGGCTGAGGCAGGAGGATCACTTCAGCCTGAGAGTATGAGGTTGCAATGAGCTATGATGATATCACTGTACTCTAGCCTGAGCAACAGAGTGAGACCCTGTCTCAAAAAACAAACAAAAAAATAACCCTATAAAGATATACACCTATTATGTACCCACAATCATTAAAAATAGAAAATTTAAAAAAATACTTTGTAAATATATTCTTTAAAAATAATAAATAAATATGCCGGGCATGGTGGCTCACGCCTGTAATCCTAGCACTCTGGGAGGCAGAGGTGGGAGGATCGCTCAAGGTCAGGAGTTTGAAACCAGCCTGAGCAAGAGCAAGACCCCCATCTCTACTAAAAATAGAAAGAAATTAATTGGCCAACTAAAAAATATATAGAAAAAACTAGCCGGACATGGTGGCGCATGCCTGTAGTCCCAGTTACCCGGGAGGCTGAGGCAGGAGGATTGTTTGAGTCCAGGAGTTTCAGGTTGCTCTGAGCTAGTCTGATGCCACGGCACTCTAGGCCAGGCAACAGAGTGAGACTCTGACTCCAAAAAAATAAAATAATAATAATAATAAATAAATAATAAAAATAAACTCCTACAAGGAAGAAGATGCTCATCTTTATAGAGTCATCTCCACACAGTGCTAGCACATTCTCCTTGGAAGCACCCTGCTAACCTCACCACGGAGAACATGCTTTGAATCCCAGCTTTTTCAAGTTTTAGCTTTGTGGCCTTGGGGAAGTTATTCAACCTTTTTCAGCCTGTGCTCCCTCATCATTAAAAAGTGAGCCTGGCCAGGCGCGGTGGCTCATACCTGTAATCCTAGCATTCTGGGAAGCCAAGGCCAGTAGATTGCTCAAGGTCAGGAGTTCAAAACCAGCTTGAGCAAGAGTGAGACCCTGTCTCTACTAAAAATAGAAAGAAATTAATTGGCCAACTAAAAATATATAGAAAAAATTAGCCAGGCATGGTGGCACTTGCCTGTAGTTCCAGCTACTTGGGAGGCTGAGGCAGGAGGATCCCTTGAGCCCAGGAGTTTGAGGTTGCTGTGAGCTAGGCTGACGCCATGGCACTCTAGCCGGGGCAACAGAGTGGGACTATGTCTTAAAAAAAAAAAAGTGAGCCTGATAATGTCTACTCTGAAGGATTGCTTTGAGGTAAATGAAGTAATGTGTATAAACACACATGGAGTATCACCTAGTATGTGGCTGAGACAGGAAAATTTTAGCTTTATTTTCCTGCATTGGGAGGTTGTTGGAGCCAGAATGATGATTCGAAGAAGTCAAGGGAGGAACAGTGAAGGGACTGGACAGCTCTGGGACAGTGTGGTTGGGCCATCATCGTCCTTTCTTCCCTCCCTGTTGCCATTGACTTAGATCCTGGAGAGATAAAACTTTTAAAATATTAATCTATTACTCTGTATTTCTTATAACCTCTGTAATCCCTCTAACTGCATCACAAAAACTGATTCTGGCTGCGTTATCTGAAGAAAAGCATGACAATTATAAGTGAACACAATTATAAATGAGTCAAATTTTTGTCTTTGGAGTTTCAAAGACTCATGTCATTTAAAAAAACAGCTTTGGAAGAATAATCGGAGAGTTCGCTTTTCTCAATACTCTCATACACACACAATTGCACACACACACACACACGCATGCACACACTCACATGTTGTGGCCTGATTATAGGACGGGGGATGAACACAGAACATAAGTGAAACTCACAGACACACAAAGACATTACATGACTCGAGTGCCTAATGCACCAGTCACTTTATTTTTATACCCCCCAGACCCAAGGTTAGTTCCTTGTACATGAGCAACTGAGCATAGCAGTGATAGATATCAATTCTGGAGTTGTTTCACAAGGGAACAATGGTCCCATGCTCTCAGACCCCAAAATGGTTACTTAAGGTGCTGGACATAGCTCAAAAGCCAAGGCTGAGATAAGCAACATAAAGCAATGCAGCCATTTGAAGTGCTTCTTGTTCTCTTTCCCAGGCCGCGGCTCCTCCCTGGGCCCCACAGTTGTACCTGTCTTAGGTCGCCCCTCCCATGAGGAGTCTTACCCATCATTGACTACCAACCATCAAACGAGGGCCAGGTTTGGGGAATGTTCTTCTTATCTTTATGGCTTCCAGACTCCCACCACAGGGGCCCTCCGTGTGGGAGCTGGGCAACATTTGCTCACGTGCAGAAACTCAGGCCGCTTATCATGTCACGAGGCAGCAACCGTGTCTGAAGAAAATGCTGACTACCGCTGCATGAGGCAGCACACGCACATCACAGGCTATAGTGAATGATCAGTATAAGGCATAACACCAGAATCAGCCCCCAACATTCACAGCCATGTGCACGCACTCAAAAGAGTAGATAGGAATTCTCCAGACTTGGGAGGATAGAAGTCCAGTGGAAGCAGGGAGCTAGAATGGACAATGTATGAAAAAACTATTGATGTGTTTTTCTCTTTTATTTTTTTCTATTTGCCTTCAGCAAATGACCTCTTTCTTTGGTTGTGGCATCAATCTGCTTGTGAGGAGATTAAGATTGTTTCAGGAGGAATATAAAGAGAAGGAAAGAGCTAATATGCCTTTATTGAAATTCAAAACAGGATTTTGCAGTAAGACAATGGGCTTGAAAACTGGACTCTGAGAAAGAGATAATTTTCTACATTCACGTAGCTCCCATTTAATGTAATCAAGATCCAGGTCTTGATTTAAATTTCTACCAAAGGAGAAGGTAATTTAATCTCCCATCTTTGATTGTTATCTGTCCTTAATGAGGATAATAGCACCTACCTTAACAGATTGTTTCTATTCTCCTCTTCTGAAGTGGCAACTAGAGCCAGAAAGCCAACATGCGATATGAAAGGAATAAAAGAGAAACCTACCTATTCTCATCTCCAGGATTGAAGAAGAGGAATGCAGGTAGGTGAGAGTAAGACGTGGATCAAAGGGGCTTAACTTGGAATTGGGGAAATGGCTTCAGAAACATTCATAAAACAGAAGAGATCATTGAAGCTGGTACAAAATTTGGCCTGGTCTAGATAAGTGGGCACAGCAGGTGTCCTGGCAGGGACATAGAATCCATTTTGCATTTCCAGTCCTCCCCCAGTGATGGCTGTTGAGAGCATGGATCTGCCATGGGGCATGGTGTGGCAGGAAGATGGTGACCTGGCAGCAGAGGCATGCGGTTTGCACAGTCGGAGTTAGGGGCTGAATGGGGGACATGCTGGAGATTCAGGTGGCCACTGGGCTCTCCAGAGCCACAGGGAGGTTGAGTCCGCCAGAAAGCACCAATGAGATCAGACCCTGCCAAGAGATCCATGAGATACTCCAAGTGCTGACTTTATACAAAGTGCCCAAGTACATGTTGACCCATAAACCAGAGGGGCCAAAGGACCCCAACTCTCCTCCTATACCTGTCCTCCTTCCATTTATTTTCCTGCTCCTGGGTTTGCAAATTGGCTGTGCTTTGGCTGGGCCTGCCAGGGTTTGGTAAGACACCTGGCTATTGATTGTATTGATTTCTGGTCTGGGATCTTTATACTGGGACCCAAACTGAAGGGCAGTGAATCTCTGGAGTTTGCTTTTCTCTTGTCAGATCACAGGAGTGCAAGAGGCCAAGCCACACTGCCAAAGTGCATTTAAAGCATCTGCTTGCATCACGTCCTCTGACATTCTGTTGATTCAAGCGAGTCAAACAGCAAAGGGCATGGATGTATACTCAAATAACAAGGAGGGAGCAAAGAATTGGGAGTAATAGTCCAAGCCACCACAGGGCCACTCTTCCCTCTCCACCACCCAAGCAGTAATATCCCAGATTGATCTGGGAAACCCAAGAGCAGACCACATTTCCCATGTGCCAGGAATATCAGTGGAGTATCTGTCACAGAGGGCCCCAAAAGGCAACACATCAAGGATGATTTAGCAGGATGAGGAGCGCCTGACTCTTAGATGATATAGTTAAGGGACTTTACCAGCCCACCTACCTCCAGGCATTTCTATTATATTAAACAAATGTCTTATTGTTAGCTGAATTTTTATTGCTTGCACCTGAGTGCATCCTACCTGTTGCAGGACTCTCATGAGCCCCATTTTTCCATGAGGCCCAAAGAAGTAAAGGCTGGAGGCTGGATTTGAACCTAGACTTTGTCTCCAGAGCACATGCTTTACCTACTATGATATCCTGCTTTCCAAATGCCGGAGCCAGCTGGTGACGTGCGGCCCCTGGAGTTAGGGGGCGAGGCTGAGAAATGAAGAGACAAAAAAAAGATGGGGACGGGAGGACGGAGTCCTTGGTGACTGCTGCGCCTCGTTTATTTCAGTTGCTATATTTATACAGATAAGAACAAAGGAGAAGCAAAATGCAAAGGAACAGGTGATGCATGTCTTCATTAAACCAGAGAGCAAAACAGTTCTTGTTTTTTCTCAACCATGCGTCACTTTGATTGCCCCTTTCCTTGCTTAAGAAGTTTTCTAATCTACAACTTAACTTTCTTCTGATATCAAAAAAGCTACAAATATTCAACTATGATCACTCAGACAGTTCAAGAAGAAGAGCACCCAAGCATAATTAACAATTCTGGGAAAGGAGTGTGTAGGGCTGGGGGGGGGGGGGGGGGGGAAGCTACCAGAGCTGTGTGCACAGGATTACTTCAGTGACCTTCTATAACTGCTACTGCTATCTCCAGCACCCTCAGTGAGCTGGAAGAAAGGCCAAGAATGTCAGAGCTCTGAGTTAAGGTGCCAGGTGCTGTGTCTCAAGGACCCCAGTGTTCCGGGCAGCAACCGCACTTTAACTCTCCCGTGTTTGGGACAGCTCCCAACATCCAAATCTTATGTGATGCTGAATCCTCCTATGTACTTGCCAGTTGATTTAAAGGATAAAGCAGTTAAATGCCCTCGTAGTGAAAAAGTAGAAGATCTGGGCATGACAATAAAAAAGTGCCAATATGACCTTGGTCTGACCTATACCCAGTCAACTCAGGGTTGTGTCCAGTTCAGGCTCCCCCTGGAGGCCCCTATTTAGATGTAGGGCTAGTCCTGAGATTGCCCTGAGCTCTATGCAGAGAGACATGTCATGGTGATGGTGGCCCCAGCCAATAATTTAGTCAAACCTACATGCTTCAATCAGGCCCTCCCACGTACCTCCTCCCTGCAACATACTATTCTCCTTTGAAATATTGGGAAGGGGCCGGGCGCGGTGGCTCACGCCTGTAATCCTAGCACTCTGGGAGGCCAAGGTGGGCGGATTGCTCGAGGTCAGGAGTTCAAAACCAGCCTGAGCAAGAGCGAGACCCTGTCTCTACTATAAATAGAAATAAATTAATTGGCCAACTGATATATATATAGAAAAATTAGCCAGGCATGGTGGCACATGCCCGTAATCCCAGCTACTCAGGAGGCTGAGGCAGGAGGATTGCTTGAGCCCAGGAATTTGAGGTTGCTGTGAGCTAGGCTGACACCATGGCACTCACTCTAGCCTGGGCAATGAAGTGAGACTCTGTCTCAAAAAAAAAAAAAAAAAGAAAGAAAGAAATATTGGGAAGGAAGTTTAGCAAATAGCTGGCTAAAGCCACCAGCTTTCAGATCTACTCTACAGATAAGATTGTTGGGTCACATGGAAATAGCAGTCTAGGTCAATACTGGGGACAGACCCAACCATGGTCTCCAATCCAAAAGGTGCTCAATCAGAGTTTAGAAGTGGCTGAGTGATGCTAGCCAAAGTCACACAAGACTGACAGATAGGCCAGCGTGGTAGCTTATGCCTGTAATCCTAGCACTCTGGGAGGCCTAGGTGGGAGGATCACTTGGGGTCAGGAGTTCGAGACCAGCCTGAGCAAGAGCAAGACCCCATGTCTACTAAAAATAGAAAAATTAGCCAGATGTGGTGGCACGTGCCTGTAGTCCCAGCTACTTGGAAGGCTGAGATAGGAGGATCACTTGAGCCTGGGAGTTGGAAGTTACAGTGAGCTAGGCTGATGTCACTGCACTCCAGCTGGGGTGACGAAGTGAGACTCTGTCTCAAAATGAACAAACAAAAAGACTGACAGATAAGCTAGAATACCCAGGATATCATGTCTCTCCAGTGAGTGTGTTTCTTATGCCTCTGTCAGAGGCACTGCCTCGTCGAAGGTGGAGACGCAGACTAAACGAGACAGTCACCAAGCATGGGTTAGGGGGGCCAGGACGGTGAGGTAGGTTTCTCTAAGGCCTACACAAGCCCTTGAGACATCTGTTTTGGGTGGATTTGGGAGATTTGAAAGTGTAACAGTTATTCAGACTTGAATAAAATTTGGTCATACAGTACAAAATAAAAAAAAAACACTTAAAGTTATATTTTGGGGGGCTCTACCTGCAGTATTAAGAGCAATTCATTTCTGACCATACTTCTGTCAATGAATTAAAATGGTAAAAAAAGAGAAATCCAGCCCTGTCCAAGCCCCTCTGTCTGTCTGTGAGGGGAGTCAGTCTCCAGAAATTTCTGCTGTCTTTTCCACGGCCCTGCATGGGCTCCCAGGAGGTCTGATGACCAGAATATCCAAGTGCCCATCTGCTGGAATCCCCAGTCTTCACTAACCTCCAGTGATGATGGGGTCCCTGGTGGGGACACATCTCTGCCTTCTTTATACGAGGCCCCTGCACAAGGGGACTGGGAGTGCTCAGCCGCCTCCTTGCACAGGCCTCCGCTTCCACAGCTGGGACTGCCTCTTGCTTCTTTTGTTCTCCCTTGTTCTGAGGCAGAAGGTCTTCCCAGGGAGCTCACATTTGCCCATATCCTGGGGTAGCTTGATTTATGTCTTTTTTTAAGACAGTCTCACTCTGTTATCCCAGCTAGAGTGCAGTGGTGGTGTCACAGTGTTGTCATCCAACCAGGTGGCACTGCCCGCGGAACAGAGAAGAGCCTGTACACTGAGGCGGTCAGGGTTGCAATAGAAAAAGGGTTTAATTCTGCAGAGTGCTAAATGGGGAGACGGGAGGAATTTCTTAAATCTGCCTCCTGAGAATTTGGGAGAAGAGTTTTTAAAGATAGTTTGGCAGGCAAAGGATTAGGCATTTGGGTTTGTTAATTGACTAGGTTCAGGGAAAAATCATAGAAGTGTAGACATCATCTTCTTTTGTTGAGTCAGTTCCTGGGTTGGGGGTCACAATTCCAGTTGAGTCAGTTTCTTAGCCAATCCACTGGGATGCAGGACTGGAAGGTATCTTAGAAACTACCTTTAGGTTTGAAAAAGGTGACCTTATCTATACCACCAGCTGTGTGACTCCAGAGCGGCAACCACAGAGAAGCAAACAAGGGGAGGGTGGCTGGGGATTATCAATATTTTCATCTAGGCTGGTGCCTTCCCAGAGTTTTAGGCCCTTACTGCAGTTCTCACCATGCACCCCTTCACTGATTTGTACAGGGTGCTTTCCATCACTCACAGCAGCCTCAAACTCTTTGGCTCAAGGGATGCTGCCTCAGCCTCCAGAGTAGCTGGGACCACCAGGACCTGCTATTATTATTATTATTATTATTATTTTGGTAGAAATGGGTCTTGTGATATTGCTCAGGCTGATCTCAAACTCCTGGCCTTAAGTGATCCTCCTGTTTTGGCCTCCCAGAGTGCTGGGATCACAGGCCTGAGCCGCCAGGCCTGACCAATGTCTCATTTTAAGGTTGTTTTGCTTATTCACTTAGTCACTCAATAAATATTTATTTATTTATTCATTCATTCCTCTTCTCTGTTTCCTTTTGGAAACAGGTAGCATTTGGGAGTTACAAGAATGTGTGGTGTGCTTGAGCCTCGCTAAGGGCATGGAAATCTAGAGATAAGTATGGAGAACCAGGCGAGTAACAGCGAAATAATGTAAGAAAAAAAGAATTTAAGGATTATCTGATCTGGGAGAGGCTTACAGAAATCAGTGTTTCGGTTTCCTATTTGTTGCTATTTCTGCCTTTCATTAGCTGGCAGGGATCCCTGCCTTAAAAGTATGTTGGGTGAAGTTGGGGAACATAATTGGCATTGAACCCGTCTTGTGAGAACTTTTTGGAGAAAATGAGAGTATGCTGTGAGACGTGCTCTGTTCACAAATTATCCATCCCCCGACTCAACTCCACATGTTATTTATTTTAAGGAGCTGATGGGCAAGACAGGAATATGTATGTCTGCACATAAGATCCTCAGACCAGGCCACTCAATGTTCAACACGGACCTTGAATCACACAGAAGGTATTTCCAAAGGTAGAGAAAAACATAAAGCCTCCCGACGCCCGGAAAAAAAGTCCTGACCATCTGCCACCTCCCCCAATATGTAAGAAAAAACTGTATTACTGCAAACAAATCAACAACAAAAACAAACAAACAAACAAACAAAAACCCCTCTATTCTCATTGTATTTTATTCTAGTCTGTTTTGTGGAGCTTTGGATGTTAAAAAAGTGAGGGAGAAGGCCTAGTGAGGTAACGCCGAAGCGTGGCCCAGTTCAGACTTGAGCCCAGATTTGCACATCGAGTCCCACCCCTGCCCTACCCGGGACGTCACCGCTCTTGTCTTCCCTTATTTTAAAAGCTAGGCGTTGTTAACATCCCTAGTCCTGCTCTTCGTGTTGGCCTTCTCCGCATTCCTCTTTGCAAGCTACCGATCTAGGACAGCAACTCCCGGTGGGGCCCCACGGCAGCCCTCCGGCGCTCCGGTAGGGCTCCGGCGCCTGCCCCGGGCTCGCCCTCGACACCCGGGCTCACCGCCCCTTCCCGGCTGCCGCTCCTGGGCGCCCAGCCTCTGGATTGAAAAATAGCAGCCCGCCCCGGGTGCCGCTCCGCCCGCCCCTACCCGCCCGCCCCCGGTGCCGCCTCCGCACCGCCCTACCGCCCCCCCCCCGTGCCCGCTCCCGCACCCCCACCGCCCGCCCGTGCCCGCTCCCGCCCTACCCCCGCCCCCCGGTGCCCGCTCCGCACCCCTACCCCCGCCTGGCCGCTCCCGCACCCTACCGCCCCGCCCCCGGGTGCCGCTCCGACCACCCGCCCCCTGCCCGCTCCCGCACCTCCCTACCGCCCGCCCGGCCGCTCCCGCGGGCGCCCGCTCCGCACCCCCTACCCGCCCGCCCAGTGCCGCTCCCGCGCTCTCCTACCCTTTCGCCCGCCCTGCTCCCGCCCCGCCCCTGGGTGCCCGCTCCCACCCTGGGTGCCCGCTCCCACCCTGGGTGCCCGCTCCCACCCTGGGTGTTCCGCTGCACCCTGGGTGCCCGTCCACCTGGGTGCCCCTCACCCGTGCCTCTCCCGCCCCGCCCTGGGTGCCCGCTCCCGCCCCCGGGGCGCCCAGTCCCGCACCTCCCCCTACCTGCTCCCGCCCGAATGCCCTCCTGTCCCCCCCCCGCTCGCCCAGGCCCGTACCCGCCGCCCCGACCCGCCCAACTCCGCTCCCCCCCATCAATAAATATTTATGGGCCAACTTTGATCTCATTTGTGTTTTTTTTGTTTGTTTTTTCGAACAGAGTCCTTTTGTTGTCCTGACCTCGAGCAATCCGCCGCTCGGCCTCCCAGAGTGTAGGATTACAGGCGTGAGCCACACGCCCAGGACTCAATTTGTTTTTTTGTTTTTTTGAGCGAGCTTGCTTTGTTGCCAGCTATGAGTGCCGTTGGGTTTTTCCGCCTAGCTCACTAGCAACCTCAAACTCCTGGGCTCAAGCGATCTCTGCCTCAGCTCCGAGTAGCTGGATACAGCATGCGCCCACACACCCAGGCTAACGTTTCGTATTATTATTAGTTGGCCATATTCTTTCTATTATATACGAGACGGTTCTCGCTCTTGCTCAGGCTGGTTTCAAACTCCTGACCTCGAGCAGTCCGCCCGCCTCGGCCTCCCAGAGTGCTAGGACTACAGGCGTGAGCCACCTCGCTGGCCTGTGATGTCAGTTTGCTAAGCAGTGGGACAGTGGTGAACAAAAATTAGGTCCCTGCCTTCCTGCAACATACGGTCCAACTGAGAATGTCAAGGTTTAAGGAGACATCACAGTGAAATGCGAAGTGAGTTATGATTTCATATTAAAATGTGCTATGAAATAATAAAATGCGCTATGAAAGGGGACACCTAATCTGGTGTGAGAGACAGCAAAAACCTTTCTAAGGATGTGAGGTTTACTATGAGAACTGAAGAATTAGTAGAAACTAGCCTGGTAAAAGAGTGGTGTGGAGGGTCTCACTGCTTTATACAAATTGTGTCCAATAGCAGAAAAAACACTTCATGAGACCATTATTACCTGGATACAGAGTTAGAGCCACTATTCAAAACAAGCAAGTATCGTGGCCCGTTTCCAGGACAGAGGATGAACACAGAACACAAAAAGACACACAGACACACACAAAGATGGTTACAAGACTGCAGTGCAGAACGCACCAGTCGTTTTATTTTTATACCCCCAAAATCAAGTTAGTTCCTTGTATGTGCCCACCCAGGCATGGCAGCGATTGTCATAAATTTGGGAACACATAGCCTAAGGACACAGATGTCTCCTGACTCAAGGTTTCCAGGCAGTTGCTCGAGGCGGCAGGCAGGCATAGATCACAGACCGAGATTAGCAAGGTCGGACAAGGCTGCCACCGGGGGCATTTTTCCTGCCCAGTTCCTCTTAGGCTGCAGCTGTGCCTGGCTCAGGTCGCCCTTCCCTTGAGGGGTCTTACCTGTCATTGACTAACCAGCCATCTTATGGGATTAAGCAACAATCAAAAGAACAATGTATTTATTGTGTGGCCTCTGGGCCTCCAATTATGGTGGGGCTGGGCAGCTCTTGCCTTAGCGCAGAAACTCAAGTCTTTTGTTATGCCTCTAGGCAGCAACCGTGTTTGTCATAAGGGCCTTCTCCGGAACACATTCCTTTCAAACGCTCTGGGCAGAACACATACCTTACTCACTAAATTTAATTCCTAAACTAGGAAAATATATCAGTCCCCTACTAGCAAGCAAACAAACAAAATATACCTTTTTTTTTTTTTTTTTTTTTTTTTTGAGACAAGCCGCTTTGTGTCCAGGCTAGAGTGAGTGGCTGTGGCGTCAGCCCAGCTCACAGCAACCTAAACCCTGCTCAAGTGATCCTCTGCTCACCCTCCCTAGTAGCTGGACTACAGGCATGCGCCACTATGCCCGCTAATTTTATATAATATATCAGTTGGCCAATTAATTCTTTCTATTTATAGAGACGGACGGTCCTGTTGCTCAGCTGTTCGAACTCCTGACCTAGAGCAATCCGCCGCCTCGGCCTCCCAAGAGCAGGATTACAGGCTGACCACAGCGTCCTGGCCAAATATACCTTTAAAAGACTATATAACCATAACATTAAACAAAAACAGTACAAGAAGGAAAATATAGCTAACTCACAACAAGCTGGAAAAAACCAAAACAAAATCTTTGCAAATCAATAAGTAGTATGTGTATCCACTGTTGTTTGTGTGTCATATGTATATAATTAAAGTCTATGTGTGTTTGTGTGTGGTGTGTACATGCTAACCGACAATGAAGAAAAAAAAATCCATAAATAAGTATCCCTGTTAGGGATTAAAAACTCAGTGACTCTTTCCTGCATATTATAACAGGTTCCAAACAAGTTGTAAGCATGTATTTATCAGTATTCATTCTTTTTTTTTTTTTTTTTTTTGAGACAGAGGGACTCGTCTCAGAGCTAAATGCTAAAAAAAAGCCAACCACATAACACAAAAAAAGAAAAATGAAGACATATGTCCACACATAAACTTGAATGTGAATGTTCAGAGCAGTATTATTTATAATAGCCAAAGGTGGAAACAGGTGTAAATGGCCCAAATGTCCATCACCTGATGAATGGATAAACAAATTGTGATCTATACATACAATGGAATATTATTTAGCCATAAAAAGAATGAAATACTGGCTGGGTGTGGTGGCTCATGCCTGTAATCCTAGCACCTGGGAGGCTGAGGCAGGAGGATCACTGAAGGTCAGAGGTTTGAAACCAGCTTGAGCAAGAGTGAGACCCCGTCTCACCCAGTCTACTAAAAAATAGAAAGAAATGAATTGGCCAACTAAAAAAATATATAAAAAATTAACTGAGCATGGTGGCACATACATGTAGTCCCAGCTACTTGTGAGGCTGAGGCAGGAGGAATACTTGAGCCCAGGAGTTTGAGGTTGCTGTGAGCTAGGCTGATGCCACAGCACTCTAGCTCGGGCAACAGAGTAAGACTCTGTCTCAAAAAAAAAAAAAAAAAAAAAAAAGAATGAATACTGATATTAATACATGCTACAACTTTGTTGAACCTGGTAAATAATATGCTAAGTGAAAGAAGTCACTAGAGGGTTTTTTTTCATTCTCCTAACAGGAGATACTTATTTATGGATTTTTTTTTTCTTCTTCATTGTCAGGTTAGCATTGTACACACACACACACATACACACATACGACTTTAAATTATATACATATGCACACACAAACACACAGTGGAATACTACATACTACTTATTTTGATTTGCAAAGATTTTGTTTTGGATTTTTTCCAGCTATGTTGTGAGATTAGCCTATAGTTTTCCTTTCTTGTACTGTTTTTGTTTAATGTTATCAAGGTTATATTAAGTCTTATTAAAAAGGTATATTTTGGCCGGGCGCTGTGGCTCACGCCTGTAATCCTAGCTCTTGGGAGCGAGGGCGGGCGGATTGCTCTAGGTCAGGAGTTCGAAACAGCCTGAGCAGTAGCAAGACCCCGTCTCTACGTATAAATAGAAGAAATGAATTGGCCAACTGATATATATATAAAAAATTAGCCGGCATAGTGGCGCATGCCTGTACGTCCAGCTACTCGGGAGGCTGAGGCAGAAGGATCACTGGAGCCAGGAGTTTGAGGTTGTGAGCTAGGCTGACGCCACAGCACTCACTCAGCCTGGACAACAAAGCGAGACTCTTCTCAAAAAAAAAAAAAAAAAAAAAAAAAAAAAGGTATATTTTGTTGTGTTGCTTGCTAGTAGGGGACTGATATATTTTCCTGTTTAGGAATTAAATTTAGTGAGTAAGGTATGTTTCTGCCCAGAGCGTTTGAAAGGAATGTGTTCCGGAGAAGCCCTTATGACAAACACGTTGCTGCCTAGAGCATAACAAAAGACTTGACGTTTCTGCGCTAAGGCAAGAAGGCTGCCCGCCCCACATAATTGGAGCCCAGAGGCCACACAATAAATGTACATTGTTCGTTTGATTGTTTCTTAATCCCATAGATGGCTGGTTAGTCAATGAACAGGTAAGACCCTCAGGGAAGTTTTGGTGACCTGAGCCGGCCACGACTGAGCCTAAGAGGAACTGGGCCAGGAAAATGTCCCCGGTGGCAGCCTTGCCACTTGCAATCTCGGTCTCTGGATCTATGCCTTGCCTCCGCCTCCGAGCAACCTGCTCGGACAACTTGAGTCAGGAGACATCTGTGTCCTTAAGGCTATCGTGTTCCAAATTTATGACATCGCTGCCATGGCCTGGGTGGCACAACAAGGAACTACTTGTTTGGGGTATAAAAATAAAACGCTGGTGCGTT